AAATCGCCGGTTCAAAATGTATAAACTATAAAGTATTGAACATGAACCGGACTGGTCAAAATTAACCACGGGCCGATTCAAGACTCATGGTCAACGAGATGGCTTGTGTCGGTTCGGGCCAAACCAACGAACCGGACTTGCCCATGACCAAGTCTACTCGGTTCCAATAATAGCCACAATCATATGCAGTCCTGTTGTGTACAAATTGTTATATTACCGAGTACCGAATCGAATGATTCGTTTCCCGGGTAGATCTCTCAAGGAAGGCGGTTCGGAATTTAGAATTGGTATTGATAACACAAAAAAAAAAAAAATAAATTCTAAACACTCTAATCAGATTGGGGAGGAATTAACTATCAACTAAGGAATAGCATAAAAGCATAAATCCTAAAATACCAACTAAGTAATAATAAAGAAACTAGGGAATCGGGGATAATTTATTCAAGTTCGCAACGTAAAGCCAGGCAATTACTCGTTCGGTTCGAAATTGACACTCCCGCCTACACGTCTAGCGGTTCACTCCCAATAACTCTTCGTAACAAGGAATTGAACATAGACGAGCAAGTTTGAGCATACAATACCGGCCAAGTATCCAATCCCAATAACTTTTCGTAACAAGGGACAAGACACCGACAAGCATGTATTTCAATCCAAAACCCATAGATTATTCAGTTACGAAATCATCTATCTCATGTGAGCCTAGGTCTACGACTTCTCCCCTTTCGGTTCTAAAAGTCGCTAGTTCAATTAGAAGGTGTTTAATCAACTAATCATGTAAGATCAATAAACCCTAACTCAACAAATCAATATTCAAGCGCAAAATCGAAGTGTCACTCTTCGATTATATCAATAAATTAACCTAAGTGTCACTCTTAGGTTATATCAAATCATCAAGCAAGAATTCATCAATTCCTAATTAAATTTACTCGCACAAGAACAAATGAATCAAGCCCGACAAATACACGTTAAACGAGAACAATCATCCCCTATCCCTAGCAGAAGGAATTAGCCACTCATATTCAACTCAACACCATCAACCACAACAATTAAAGCAATCATATTCATGGATTAAATGAATAGAAAACTTACGATTAAAACAGAATTGAGAGTTGAATCTGAAATACAAGATTAATCCGAAAGTAATGAAGAAATCCAAGTGAAAAACAAGATCAAGATGGTGTTCTTAGGGTAAGAGAAGGGAAAAGAATGGGTTTTTGGGGGATTTTCTGGTCTGGGAACGAGTCCCAATGAAAATTCCCCAAAAAAACGAACAGAATCGAACTTAAATTTCTGCACGTTGCGACCTCCGCGGCCGCGGTGAAAAACACCCGCGGCCGCGACCGTCCCCGAGGCCGCGACATCCACAGGCCAAAAAAGGGGCTTTTGGGACCCTCGCGGCCGCGGTGAAAGAAACTGGGCAGCTGCGCGCTGCTTTACGTTTCGAGCTCGTTTGGGCTCGTCCGAACTCGGAATTGAGTTCCGTTTTTTGCTATGCGTCACCAACGAACCCATCTATCCAGTTATGCTCTCAAAACCAACTTTTCGTGAAGAGAAAATTCGCCCAAAGCTCCTGACCTACACATCAAAAACGACAAAACACAAAAGAAAACCGAAAAAACAAACGAAAAACACCTAAAGACTCAAGATGAAGGAAAACACATAATAAAACACGAAACGGACTAAAAACTAAAGAAACGACCTAAAATGGGGAAAGAGAAAGATAAAATAAACACGAAAAACGCAACAAAAATGAGACAAACAAGTCCCGAGTTAAAAAATTTTCTAGTTACACTCCTGACTCCAGTCCAGATGCGAACGGCTAATTAGATCCAATCCATCGAAAACATAAAACTCGAACCTAGATATCTATATGTTTTCTTTGTGCGTGTGTTTTTTTAGAAAATATGTCCCCCATCAAAAAAGTTTACACAGACGCATCCGCGTGAATTTTTTCTCCTTTCTCATGCGTCCCTCTAAATGTTTTAAATTTCCTTTCTTGACTTGC